TGGTGAAAAACTGACTTTGAAAAATAAATCTGTTCTTTTTTCTTATAAAAGACTAAATAAAACAAAAATATTGGTGTTAATATTTGACTGTGTAACKTTACAAACAGCAGGCCGTAGTTTTACACTGTAAGAAGTAAAACTGCAGAATTGACTGAACTCTTTGTTGCCCCAGTGGGTAAAACAGGTTCAGTTTCTGCCTTTTAACGTTTCCAGAGGCTTTTATTTTGTGGACTAGGGTTTTAGACAACTTCCTGCGGTTCTTTAGTTTAGCTCCTTAAAAACATTAAAAGGTTTTTATGAATTTCCAGAGGCGACTGTTAAATGGTTAAACTGGTTCCACTAAGTGGAGAAAATATTCTTGCCTCATATTTCCCAGTGAAACCAGCTGACCTGGTTCAGTAAATTCAACACTTTATTTTTTAAAGCAGGAACAACTTTCATGACGAGTTTAACAGATTTTATTTTGTAACAAGTAACTCGACGCTAAAATTTAAAGAAGTAAAAGTATCAATTTTAGGTTTTAAATCTAACGAAATAAAAGTAAAAGTAACGATTTAAAAAATACTTGGTAAAATTACAAATCCTGAAAAAAACCCTGACTGAAGTACTGTAACAAAGTAAAAGTACTGAGTTACTGTATGACGTCACAGGACAGCGCGTGCTTCAGTAGAAACCAGTTTTATTCAGTATAAATATTGTAACAGGTCAAATTGCACATGAAGAGTTTTAAGTGTTTCAGTTTCAGCAGAGATGAGGAGCAGGTTGCTGCTGTAGCAGCTGCTGCTGCTGCAGGAGCAGCAGCTGGGGGACCCCCAGCAGCAGGTAGGGGGGGCTCGGTCCGCTGCAGGGGCCGTGCTGGTACCGGAGCCTGACGGCTGGGATCTGAGGAGCCAGGAAGTCCTGGACCTCCCGCTTCAGCTTCATCCTCCTGTTCTGGAACCAGGTCCGGACCTGCGGGGCRGCGGGACCAGGTGTTAGTGTCGGAGTGCGTGCACGCGCTCCCCTCAGGTGTACCAGCAGCTCACCTGTGTCTCCGTCAGGTCCAGCCTGTCTGCAGTCTTCAGCCTCTCACCTGCRTCCAGGTACTTGTGTTTGCTGAAGATCCTCTCCAGCCTGCTGACCTGCTCCGGGGAGAACTTGGTGCGCGCGCGGCGCGGCCTCGCGTCCTCGCAGCCCCCGTCCACAGAAGAGACCCCCTCTGAGCACGCGGCCTCGCTCTCATACCCCGAGGAGTCCCCGCTCACCTCCGGACCTGCGGCGCGAGGAGGAACCGGTTACACGTGCGCGCGCGCGCCGCGTTTTGTTGGAACAGGTTAGATACTTACAGGGTGAGGAGCTCAGGCTGGACCGGTCCTCCCGGTCCCCCCTGTCCTCCGGCTGCTGGGGGGGCTTCCATGCTTTAGGCTTGGCCTGTAAGTGACTTTGACCAAAAGTGGGCGCGCGCGGCTGCACCATGCACGGGACGTGAGGGGGTCTGTGCGCGTGCACAACGGCGCGCTCCTGGTGATGGCTCTGCGCCAGCCAGTCCACGGAGAAGAACTTCATGGTCCGAGCACGTGGAGGTCCTGCAGATGTGTGAGGAGGGTCCGGGTTGTGGGTCGCGGTCCTCAGCCGGTCGGTCCCTTTATAGTTCCCGAGTTCCCGCCAAATCTGCATATTTATAAGAGCTGATCGATCAGATGATTGGTGGATAATGGCCTGTTACTGAAGTCTTTACACGTCCTGTAAGTGTGTGAAGTCCTGGCGCCACCGAGTCTGAGGACCCCACACACACACACACACACACACACACACACACACACACACACTGAAACTCACAGAGACTCAGGAAGTTTCAGGTCGGACAGAAACCAGTTTCAGTGTGTGTTATTGTGTGTTTGTTTCTGGGGACATGTGGGGACAAAGGTCCAGTTTGGTTCAAACAGCACTGGGGGGTCGGGGGTTGGGGGTCGGGTTTAGGACCAAGGTGTGAATTGAGTTTATAGTTTTCGGGTCAGGAGGAACCTGTGAGGTTTTAAGGTTTGTGGGTCAGGCTGTAGAAATGATTTGGTTACAGAGAAAAAAATTAAAAGATAAAACAACTAAAGTTTAACTACTTTAAACAGGTTCAAAGTTTATTTCTACAGATTTAAAAATTAATGTTATTTTTCTGAGTGACTCTAATTAAACTGATTTTAAATGTGTTGAAAAATATTTTAAAATCAGTTTAAT